CTAGAACACACAGCAAGTAAAACACTCTCACACACAAGTATAGTTGCAAGAATGTAAAGACAATAACACCCACGAATTTACAGAAGCACAAGGCTTCCAACCTTTTACTATTATTCACAAAACAGTACAAGAAAAGGCCTCAACCTGCAGAAGCATACAAGAGTCTCTCACAACACAACTCTGTGTCTCACTCTCAATCTGCCCTCTCTACAGAACCCACATTAACAATATATAGGCAAACTCTCAAAACCGCCCACAACTGCCCACTAAAGTGGTGGATGACACCCCCATCCACCTAGGGTCATGTTGGCACCCACTAAGTGTGCCAACACTACATATGTAGTTGACAAGCCCAATTACTAGCTTGTTGGCACGCTCTGCTCATGCCACTTGTCCACAGGAAGTTACACATTATCTGCCACCTTCTATATATCAGCATAGTGGAAGAAAACCGACTCTAACCACCTGTGTGTTGTCCCCTCAAATCTGTGTCACATGCATGGGAAGTTACTCAGCACACCCCCACTCCCCATAATACATGCATATGAGTGGGAAGTTGGAAAGTTACTCAGCACACCCCCACTACCCATAATATATGCACACTAGTGGGAAGTGTTAGTAACTTCCCCAACCAACTGAGCCCACTTAGCCATCTTCTGTAACCATAAGTAAATTCCCCCAACCAACTGAGCCCACTTAGCCATCTTCTGTAACCATAAGCCATGACTTATGTGGTCCATGCTTTAAGCAACATCTGAGCCAACTTTGTAAACCTAGCCCATGCCAAGCCCACTAATCTGCACCCGCATATAAATGTCTCAAAGTGCACGACATCCAAATCGAATGCCGTCTGCGCCAACCATCTTCTATGGACTCAAGGTACCTCCCATAAAGATCCCGAGCCAAAACTCCAAACTTCACTTTTTCGCCATATTTACGAAAATGCCACTAGGCACCCCCAGTGCACGCTGACAGCATCCCATGGTTGTCAAGGGGCTTGTCAAGGTCCCAACCCCGTAACAAACCTCCCCCACTTAAGAATTTCAACGTCCTCGTTGAAGCAATCACAAAGTGTCACAAGTCTCTACCTGCAAATTAGCATGTTGGCCCCGAGCAACCCGAATGTTGAATATTAACACTGCAACAACTCCACTGTTGCACTTAAATAATGACATAAACCCCAACCTCCGCTTCGATTCATGACATGAATTCTGGACACCTTTGGATTCTGTCCTCACAACCAGCAACCCAAATCAGAAAAACAAATAAAGAGAGAATTTGCCATTACCAACCTTGGCAATAACTCCGTGAGCATCTCTGCATAGCCTTCCCCCGAAGCCACGCGTCCACCTGCACCTATCATGACTGCATGACAAGAGGATTGATCCGAACATTACCCTCATCCGAGTCTGAATCTCCTCCATTGGCTTCTTCAGCAACCATAGCATTCACCTTCTCTTTCTTAGGACAGTCCCTCGCCCCATGTGGACCCTTGCAAATGAAGCAACCACTGTCCAGCTTTGGCCTCTGCTGGATGAACATCGCCTCTGACTTACCTTTGTCTTTCTCTTCCTCAGCAACACCATACCTCTTGGGCTTGTCACCAAACTTGCCCTTCTTCTTCAGTTTGCTGGCGATAGTAGAGTCAGACTTTTCAATCTGCAAGTCCACCAGGCTGTCTGCTGCAACTATAGCAGAAGAGAGGTCGATCACTCCGCTCCTCCTTAACTCGATTTGTGCCCATGATTGCAAGCCTGCCATAAAATTAAACAATTTGTCCCCCTCGGACATATCTTTGATATCCAACATCAAAGATGTGAACTCTTTCACATATTCACGCACTGTATCCGTATGCTTGAGTCTCCTCAACGACTCCTGAGCCACCCAGCCAGAATTTGCTGGAAGAAACTGCTCCTTCAGTTCTTTCCTCAGCTCTGCAAATACAATAATTTTGGGGCATAACTCGTCCTCCACCCGAGTCCGCCACCACAATTTAACATCACCAGACAAATACATACTGGTAATAGTTACCTTGTCATTATCTGGAATGTGGGCTGCTCGAAAATATTGCTCCATATCTCTCAAGAAATTCTCCAAATCTTTGGCACTTCTCTTGCCCCCGAATGACTTTGGTTCTGGAATTTTGATTTTGGAAGATGATGGCTTCTCTCCCACAACAGTCTGATTGTGCATGGCTCTCTTCAACAGAGCCACCTCGCCCTCCAAATCCTTCGCATGATCTTTGAAGAGGTCTGTCATGGACATCACATCAACCGTCATAATCTGCATCATTGAGTTTGTCTCCCCCACAAACTCTTCAAGCATTGATCATATTGTCTGCAACTCAACTGCAAACAATTCCATCTGCTCCGTCAAGGCAGCAGCATCGTCAGATTGTGGAGCACCCACCAAGGCCTCCAAACAAGTCACACGATCTTTGAGAGCTTCTGTAGCATTACCACCAGCCATGATGAACCCAACTCTGCGCTCTGATACCAATTGTCATAGGGGTAAATTCTGAACACGAATCTAGTGCCCTGTGATGGCACTAAGCCAGAAATATGAACAACTTTTCTTTGAATTTCTAACTTAGCTCAGCCAACTCACACTTGCTACCTATAACACACAGCAAGTAAAACACTCTCACACACAAGTATAGTTACAAGAATGTAAAGACAATAACACCCACGAATTTACAGAAGCACAAGGCTTCCAACCTTTTACTATTATTCACAAAACAGTACAAGGAAAGGCCTTAACCTGCAGAAGCATACAAGAATCTCTCACAACACAACTCTGTGTCTCACTCTAAATCTGCCCTCTCTACAGAACCCACATTAACAATATATAGGCAAACTCTCAAAACCGCCCATAACTGCCCACTAAAGTGGTGGATGACACCCCCATCCACCCACAACTACCCACTAAAGTGGTGGATGACGCCCCCATCCTCCTAGGGTCATGTTGGCACCCACTAAGTGTGCAAACACTACATATGTAGTTGACAAGCCCAACTACTAGCTTGTTGGCACGCTCTGCTCATGCCACTTGTCCACAGGAAGTTACACATTATCTGTCACCTTCTATATATCAGCATAGTGGAAGAAAACCGACTCTAACCACCTGTGTGTTGTCCCCTCAGATCTGTGCCACATGCATGGGAAGTTACTCAGCACACCCCCACTCCCCATAATACATGCATATGAGTGGGAAGTTGGAAAGTTACTCAGCACACCCCCACTACCCATAATATATGCACACTAGTAGGAAGTGTTAGTAACTTCTCCCAACCAACTGAGCCCACTTAGCCATCTTCTGTAACCATAAGCCATGACTTGTGTGGTCCATGCTTTAAGCAACATCTGAGCCAACCTTGTGAACCTAGCCCATGCCAAGCCCACTAATCTGCACTCGCATATAAATTTCTCAAAGTGCACGACATCCAAATCGAGTGCCGTCTGCACCAACCATCTTCTAAGAACTCAAGGTACCTCCCATTAAGATCCCGAGCCAAAACTCCAAGTTTCACTTTTTCGCCATATTTACGAAAATGCCACTGGGCACCCCCAGTGCACGCTGACAGCATCCCATGGCTGTCAGGGGGCTTGTCAAGGTCCCAACCCCGTAACACTATTCCATAATACATTAGTTTTGATCTATTATGGTCTTATTAAACAATTTTGTTAACTAAGAAATGTCATCATTCTCTAAACACTACCATATCTAAGTAGGAAAGACAATCTAGACTAAAAAACTTATTATTTTTTTCATATTGTTCAATGTGTTTGTCACCTTGCATACACTAATGCTATGAAAAACTTTGCATCTCTTACCTCCCCAAAAAACAATATTCTTCTAAACATAAGCTTCCAAAAGATTTCATTCAACAGCTTTTCAAAATAACTTTTCCACCTTAATCTAATTTAATCTTTTTACCAAAAACCCTTTTGTTCTTTTCTCATTTATTTTACCTAAATTAGAACAGAGATTGCCGCGCATGTTCAATACTTAACATCATTGTTATTTTTTTTAACTTTGTTCTTTACAACCCATATTTTTTAAAACTTTCTTCCTTTATAGGTTTTTGCCAAATTTATAGCAATCCCATTTGTATTTACTATGGCTTGGACAACCACATCCCACCACTTTCTTTCTTTAAAATAATGGTCTTTTACATCTTTTGATATTCTTTTAATAAATTGGTCGTGTTATTCCATATTACATTAGTTTTGATCTGCCAGATGTGAAGCTGCATTTTTAGCATCTTAGTCTTGAATACTTCTATTTTCTCTCTTTTGAATTTCATCACCTAGTTTTTGAAATTCTAATCTCCTCTCTCTTTCTTGATTGTCATTTGAATACATATCTATAAATAACATATATACAAATAAAGGCTCACCAAAAGAGTAGAAAAAACCAAAAAAAAAAACAGAAAATGAGCTAAATATGAAAAGAAAATCAAATCCCTATGATTTATTCCAGGGGAAAAAAAATCAAAACCCTAAAATGCATGTGTGGGGAGAAACTTATTCCCGCTCTACTTGCCCACAAATACACATCAAAATAGTAATTGGTGTTTATACCTAAGTCAGTCGACATAACTAGATCTGTTATGTAACCATTTCACATAAAAAATAATATCTGGAGCAGGCAATTCAAAAGAAAGAGAGAACTCAACAAACAAAAAATTTGTTGAAACCCTAATGGACAAGAAATTGAGCATTTACATTCTCAACCCACTTACCCTAAAATCACATTAAAATTGTCATTCAAAAATCTTGAACATGTTCTTATTTCTACCCAACTTATTAAAGTCAACGGCAAATAGATGGTATGCATTCAATCCCCTAACAGAGACTCCTACGAAGATATATTAGAGAGAGAAATCATTTTCCGCGGAAAATTAAAACCAAATAACTCATTTAGTCAGAGTAATGGCCTTATACCAACGCATAACTGGGGTGTAAATCACCCGATCGAGAACAAGATGAAAGCCAAACCTTAATGCATCATGGAAGAGCCAGCTAACATCATAATCTATACACACATATAACCAAAAAAAAAAAATCAACTAAGTCATACGAAAGACACGAAAAAGGTCACAGAGCCCAGGAAGGAATCATTCGAACTCAGCTTCGATTGAATTAAGAAAAAAAAGTATGTTGACACGGAAACTTGCAGAGAAACAAAAATCCAGATAAGAAATATCACCTTGGAGTGTTAGAGAGGAGAGAGAGGCCAGTCGGGTATTTCTTTCATACATCGAGTATCTCTTTGGAATGATTGATGAATTGATTTAGGTGATTTGGGTTGGGTTGGGTTGGTTTATATAAAGGAATAATAAAATAATGGCCAAAGTTAGGGCTCTAGCTTGGGCGGGTTAACCTAGTCCAATCTAAGTCCAATTCGAAATTTTAAAATTTAAGCTTTAAGTTTACAAATTGGACTCATGTTCGGGTTGAGTTTAGGGATGTCAATTTTTACCGCCCCGTCGGGGCCCCGCCCCGTCCCGCCCCGTTAATAATGGATATGGGAACACTTGTTATACCGTTGGGGCAGACATGAATACAAATTTTGTACCCGTCGAGGGTCACGGGGTGGGTAAGGGTTCAATATACATATCCTAGGGGCCCCGCCCCGCCCCGCCCTGCATATAACTATATATAATATATATATATATATATTAATAAGTTATTTTAGCGGCTTACCCAATTACCCATCTCTTATAATCCTAATTTGGGATATAAACTTGGTATTAAATTTACTTTTGTTTTGGTTATGGTGGAAGTTGGAGCTTAGAACTTCTTGTGATTTGGTTGTATTAAACTTTTATTTTTGTTTATTATGTTCTCTGAATTATGTTATGTGCATGTTATTTTTTATTTATTTATTAGGATACATAATTTTATTTATGTTGTGTCATTCCTAGGCTTTGCACATTTAAATAGCAGGAGTTTAAGTTCCAAAAAGTGGGAGAAAAAAATTTGTTAGTGGGGCGGGCACGGGGGCACAGTATTTCCTAACGGGGCGGGGTTGGATATGAAAATCCAACCCGTCGCGGGTCTCGGGGCGGGCATGGACTTGATAAAAATTAAAAGGGGCGGGGCGGGGCGGGATTTAGAGAAACCCGCTCCAAACCCGCCCCGTTGCCATCCCTAGTTGAGTTTTGTTAAGACCCAGACATATTCGAGTTGGGCTCTAGCTCAACCTGAACCCAACCCAAAATCCAAAATAAAAATGAAAAAAAAAATCATTTTTTTCCTCCTTTCTCTCTCCTCTCTCCTCTCTCCTCTCTCTTCTTTCTCTCTCTTGTCTCTCTACCGTCCTCCCTATACGTACAAGTTAGCAGTTGCAGAGAGAGAAGGGGGGCAAGCTTGAGAGTTGAGAGACAGCGGCGGAAGCTTGCGAACGGCGAACCCAAACTGCAACAGCGAGCGATGGAAACTGAAAAATCTGGGTTTTGATTTTTTGAACAATTTGAAATGATATGCCGATATGGGTTTTGAACTTTTGATTATTGCGGACAGATAGATAAAACTGAAATATATGGGTTTTGAATTTGTGATTCTTTTAGATTTTGTAGTTTGCAATTGCAGAGAGAGAGGGGGGAGCGACTTCAGAGAGAATAGAGATGGAGGCGATTAGGGAGGCTAAAATGATTTGCCCTAAAAATAATCAAATGTATAATATATATAATTTGTTTTTTAATAATAATATAATCAAATATATAATATATATTTCCGGGGAAAAAAAAAATTAAAAAAACTCAACCCTTAAACCTGACCCAACTCACAGAAAAATATTCAGACTGGGTTATGATCATAACCCATGTTGGGTACAATTCGGGCTAGGCCAACCTAACTCGATTTGGGTTGAAATTGGGTTGGAACTGGGCTGAGTTGGGCCAGCTCAACTTGTAGGCCTAGCAGAAGTACAATAACCCTTATACCCTTTTCCCGATAAACCTCCCATCTAATTTTTTAATCAAAGAATTTCCTTCAATTATATAATATAAGAGATAAAAGATTGGATGTTTAAACCAAAATGTTTTTATTGCTATTTTATTTGAATTATAATTCATTTTAACTTCGAAAATTCATATCTCAAAAATTATATATTAAAAAATTACAAATAATATATACACGGAAAGCTTATAAACAAGGATTCTAGAAATATCATATTTGTGCAATATGCCACCATAACCAGAAATAAATAGACAATCTAAGAATCTATTCCAACAATCTTATTTTATTTTTGAAAAATAAAATACTCAAAATATTTGTAAGAAAATTTTCAGAATTATTCATTTACACGTGTAGCATAACATATAAAAGATTTAGCCCTAACAAAAATCGATTATCTATTTTGATTTTTTTTTTTTAAATGGTGAATCTATAAGAAAACAAAAATATATTGACGCACAATATGATATCTCATGAAATCGGTCTCTATTGGGGCTAAATTTTTTATATATTATGCTTTATATGCAAATGAATAATTTTGAAGATTTTCTTGCAAATATCCCGATTATTTTAATTTTTAAAATAAAATAAGATTGTTGGAGTAGACTCTTAGATTGCCTATTTCTCTCTGGTTATGGTGGTTTGTTGCACAAATCTTATATTTATGAAATCCTTGTTTCATAAGCTTTTCGTGCATATATTATTTATAATTTTTCGATGTACGGTTTGCAAGATATAAATTTTTGAAATTCAGATGAACTTGCATTTAAATAAAACAACAATAAAGGCATTTTGGTCCAAACATTCACTCTTTTACACCCCTCGAATAGTTAGAGGGGGTTATTTGGTAAAAAATTAAACAAGAGGATTTATTGAAAAAGGTCCATAGTTAAGGAGGGTTTGATGTGTGTTTTTATTTATCAATAATAAAATACTACTTGCAATAGAACGAATTTTTGTAGGATAGGGGCTATATTGAGGGTGTCGAACCTCAAAAACTGCAATGGTTTATGGAGTCTTCAATTAATACTATTTTAATTTAGAAAAAGAATTTAATTTGTTATGGTGCAATAATATAAATAGAAAATAAATAAAGTAAAGAGAAAAAATCAAGGGTAGAGATACTCAGGGATTGACTTCACCACGATCCTCCTACTATGGTCAACTATTCAGTCTTAGGATTTTAATAATTTATATACCATATGAATTAAACTCAATAACATTCATTTAATTCGGTTTTAAAGAAAGATGTTTCATGAATTTCAATTAACTATAACCTATCTACGGTTAGCATGGATTATCCACCTACCTACTTCTAACTAATTTTGCATTACAATCCATCTTTCCTAAGCATAGCCTATGAAAATATTCATTCACAAAAAACGTTTGAACACCTTTACATGATCTCCATTTTTATGTCCGGTAGGGCTCTGCCAGATACCGTCCAATAAGAATGGGTTGAGAACAGTTTATAAATAGTTACATCTAAGACAAATAACTATTCAGAAACTATTAATTCATTAAAACACCAATTAAGTTGACTCAATTGCTCAAAATTATATAATCAAAGTATATAAATTATTAAATTCCCAAAGTATAAACAATCAAACCATAATAATCGGATAGGGTTACATCAATGTCTAAGATAGGAATTAGCTACTCATGACGACACTAGATATCATCTGTGTTGGTGTAGTCTTCATCATCAAGGTCTGCACTTCTTTCTTGGGGACTTCCTTTCAAAACCCTAAAAGCCGCCGTGAGAGAGAAGAATGAGATGATGGAATCCAAAAATTCTTTTCCTTGTGACATTTCCTCTTCTTTTATAGGAGAAATTAAGTCCTAATCCCATTTAGATTGGTTTTACAGCTTTTGGGAACCATTGGGCTTTTAAGGAAATAAAGAGAGGTGAAAATATATAATTCCCGCATGTATTTTGAACCTCCACGATGCCAGAGCTCGAGCTCTGGAGTCAGGGCTCGAGCTTAACCTATCAGCAACTTGTTCTGACGTTGTAATACAATTTTGACATATTTAGAGCGCGAATCTTGAGATGGCTATTAGAGACAAAAACATCGTGCTTCGAGTCTTCTTTCCAAAGCAGCTGAGTTTGCTCAATTTGGAGTTTTGAGTCAAAAGTTATGCCTAAAATACTGAAGTAGGTCCAGAGTTTTCAGCAATGCTCGAGCCCTGAGTGGTTGTGCTCGAGCTTTCTGAGTTGGGCTCAAGCTCTGGGAGCAAAATTTATCCAAAATGTCTTTTTATTGATTGTGCTCGATCCTAAGGTGTTGGGCTTGAGCTCTGGGGCTGTGGGCTCGAGCTCTAGGTGTTAGTGCTCGATCTCTTGAGGTCTGGCACAAGGTCCTGGGACTTGGATCAACTCTTCAAATTTCGACACATCTTGTGCTCGAGCTCGTAGGAAAAGGCTCGAGCATCCTGTGGTTGGGCTCGAGCTTTCGTGTCTTGGTGGAATTTTTTGTTTTTGTTGGCTCTAGGCTTGAGCCTTAAAAACATGGGCTTGAGCCTTAACACTTGACTTTCTCCAAAATCGCCATTTTGACTCGCAGCTAGCTTTGAATGACCAACAACGACTCGGTAAGCTTCAATATCAGTCTTTTCATCATAAAATCACGGTTTTAACTTGTTCTTTGGGAAAGTACCTACAAACACAAAATAAACATAAATCAGTCTAAAACTGGATAGAAGTATTACTTAAAGTCTTACCATACATATATTTAGGGACTCGAATATGCAATATTTAGCGCTCATCAGGGTTTATTGTACTTTGCCCTAAAATAATTAACTTATTTAGAAATGAGATAATAGTCGCAATAGTCCAAAGTGGGAGAAATTATTCATTGCAACTGTTGTAATGGTGACGTAGTGCAACGGACGGTTACAAATACTCTCCCAAAGTAAAGTGGACCTACAATAAAACCAAAAAATTGATATACATGCTTTAGTGGAGTGTTTGTAATCGTCTGTTGCACCATATCTCCATTACAACGGTTGTAATGAATAATTTTTCACCAAGTGGTTGGGTTGTTCATTCCACTCAGAAGCTTGTATTTAATAAGCCTTGCCAGTTGCCCCAAAACCACACCCCAAGTTGGATTATGGATTTGGAATTAGGGGTTCTTGTTTTATGAGATTCTAGGGTTATAATAAATGGGGTTTTGAAGGTTTATATGACTGATGAATTGTTAGACCAAGAGGGGGTGAATTGATCAATTTTTAAACCTTCTTCAACTCAGCAAGATTAATATTGATAAGCAAATACAATGAACATAAGGTATACAAGGAAAACCCTTTCAATAGGGAAAAACTTTGGTTCTTGGCCTCAGCCGATATAA